AATTGAAAATGTTTAGAAACTTCCACAACAATTTAATATTGCTGTGACATTTTAATTGTATTTTACAAAAGTATCACTCTGCAACAAATTGGAAATTTTTAAAAACTAGTTTTTTGCCACAGGTAATTTGAGAAGTACTATTCTAGCACATACATATATTGACAATGAGTGTTGTCAAAGAAGGAAGCTTACAGCCAGAGTTTTGCCAATTACCATTATCAGATTACCACCCTCCAGAGATTTAAATTAGGAGCTGAAATCTTACCAATGATCAACTAAAACACAAAAGTTAATTGACTCAATTAAGGTCATAAAGCTAGCTTACTGACAGAATTGAACTAAGAAAAAAGGAAGAAAACTAACATTTATTGAGGGTCAAAGTGTCACTATGTTAGGTAATTTCAAATACTCTATATAATTATTTACTCTTCACAATCAGGTTTTTGGTATTACTCTAAGCTTTACTGATGAGGATCAAAGAAGTTTAGTGATTTGCTCAAGGTCACAAAGTTAATAAATGTATTTCTTTGTTTCATTCAGCTTTCTGTGGACTAAAAATGAAAATAGGATAAATATGGAGAAAGATTCTAGGGAAGGGAAGAGAAAGGGCTGAGCCAATATCCCTGTTATGAAATACTATAAAAATAACTCAGGTAAACAGTATAGTGTTGATGGACAAATTCCTCTCAGGAATGTGTCCATATGAACCAAAAAGTAGAAGATATTATGTTTAATTTTGTAAATTCTGAAGGTATACAGAAACACAGACAATTCCCTCAAAGATGGAGTGAAGTTATTGCTGGAGTTCTCAGACATCTAGACCTCATACACAACAGGAGACAGGTGAGAACAAGGGCCCCAGATCCAAGGCACCCTTCTCCCTGGCCATCTAGCACAACACAAATGACTTTTGGTTTATAACGGTTCTTCCCAATTAAGCTGTATGTGGTTTAAAAATCACATACTCTGCCTCTCAACTCATTTGTTCTTATTTCACATAAACCAGCTAGTATTCCCTCCAAGCTTCTGTGGTCTCCACATCATGTTAGGCACACAGACCTAATTTTATATTTCTGCTAAACAACAAAAACATAAGCTAAACGAAAGGAAGATGGAGCAAAGTTGTGTGCAAGGTTTTGTGTTCCACAGCAGCACAATAATGATTACTTTTAGTGCTTAGTTTTTTCCTAAGCAGAAAATATAACCAATATCAGTTCAGTTTCTTCCAATGGCTTTCCAGAGAGCTAAACGTTTTCACACCAAAGTCGGAAATAAGGATTTTTTTTAAATGATGCTTTTTCTCTTTGAAATATCCTGCCAACACTTCAATAACCAAGAAACATGTTCCCATTCTCAAAGAACAAAAATTAAGAGATAACCTCCCTCTAGGCAAACAGGAGAATAAGGCCTTACCATTTCTCCAATGTGGCTAGCAAAACTCCAAAAGCAAACTATGCCCTGGAGAACTGATCACCCCACAAAGCATGGTGTCAACAAAGTCATCTTGCTTAATAAGCTAAATAGTATCAGTTAACAAAGGGGCAGAAAGAATGAAATAACTTTCTTATTTTTGTTCCACAGAACCTCCAAGTTTTGTTTCTAGGTACCTTTGACCTAAAGACAGGACTGTCTTCTCCTGGTTATTTAATTTCCATTATGCCTATATCAGAAGTTAAAATACATGTAATGAGTTTTAACATCACTGAATTCAACATCTTAACCAAGAGAAAAATATAGACATGCTCAAATAGCCTGGTGAAAGCTATGAAAACACTCTCTGGAAAAAAATAATATCTTGTGAAACAATTCCTATAATGTAACCAATAGTCAGTGACAGGCTGGGCGCGGTGGCTCACGCCTGTAATCCTAGCACTCTGGGAGGCCGAGGCGGG